GAAGGTAGAACCAGATTAAAGGGCACAGGGGCCTGGTGGGACGTTCTGTTGTACTGAAAGTTCACTGCCCCAGCTCCGTTCACTACAAACCCGACTGGAATGCTGGGTATTTTTTTCTCCCTCGGATGGTGCTGGGTGAGACGAACAAGTGCGTCGTGACCTTCTGCAGCAGAGCTGGTTCTTTCCTTTCCTCCCAGGCTTCCTGACCAGCCCTGGGCAGCCTCCTGTTCCAGGGCTCCCAGGGCAGCGTGTCTCCCGTTCGTTCCAGCGCACGCCGGTGTGTCCCTGGTGAGGGGGACTCTGCTGACATCGGAGCTGCGTGCTCCTCGCCGGCCCGCTAGCTGCGCTGCACACGGGGAGGGTTTCCACCAGCTGCTCCCGTCCACGCCGGGCAGGCACGGTTCTGGTTTGGCTCGCGGGCTCCGCTCTGCATTCCGGGAAGTGTATCCGCTGACCTGGATCTGCCCTCGTCTCGAAGGCTTCAGGCCCATTTTTTATCCGGCTATAGGAACGTGTTTAAAGTTTTTGTTGAAACAAAGAGGACCTGGCCCTGTTAATCTGTGTGAATGTCAAGGGGCCAGCTCTGTAATCCCAGGCTCACAAAAGAAAAATGTGTCTTCTCCACCTTGATCCAGCGCCCAGTACGACTGACAAACGGCCAGGACGTGAGCACCGTGTTTAGATACTGAGAATCAAGTCAGCAGTGTCCTGAACTCCGGATACCCCGTCTGCAACACACAGTGATTTCTAACATCGGGCTCGCAAGGGCGGGCCGGACTCCTGTTGGCCACGCGATGGGGATGGGTGATGGGGATGGCGGCTCTCCCAGGGCCTCGCCCCTGCCCCTCGCCCCTCACCCCTCGCCCCTCGCCCCTCGCCCCTCGCCCCTCGCCCCTCGCCCCTCGCCCCTCAGGGGAGTGCAGGACTCTGAGAAAACACCTGGCCAGCCTCATTGGTAAACATGACACCCTGTTGTTGACTGGCAGCCTGGGGTCCTGCCTGGCCTGCGGGGAGTGGAGGTGCAGTCCCCCAGCAGCTATAAACTAATGGCCCCTTAGATGGCATGGAATGACATTTCTCATTATCCATTTTCACGGGGCTGGTAGAACTGAGATTGAGTCATGTACGGATAAGTTAATCTTTCTGTCCTGGATGCTCTAACACTGTTTTGTTTTGTTTTGAGCAAGAAAGCTAAGACAAGCTCAGACAGGGCAGGCTCCTGGAGGCAGCCGGGGCTCTAGTCCTGGCTCTGCGTTCAGGGCTGTCATGCCTCAGCTCCGTGCTCGTGTCTCCTCACCTGTAATGTGAGGGACTGGCTTGCCCATTTCACAGGTGTTTTTGTCACAGGTTAATATGTCTGAAGTCAGGGTGCATCTTACTGCTGCTGGCTGCCAGCCGCATGGCAGGTGTGACATAGCCGTCAGTGCCTGAGCAGGTGTGAACGTGGCCCTCTGATCAGGTCGTCACGACCTCGGTTGAATTAGGTGTATTTTGGGGTAGCCATATGTTCAGTGTAATTGTCATTCAAATGTCTTCAGAGATCTCCCTGTGATATATTATTGGCACCAAAAGTTACTACGTACGCTGAAGGGCATAGAAACAGTAGCAGAACATTGATTTGGTGTTAGAAGAGCAAATATTCACTGCTGGGAGAAAAGCTACAATCTCACACTTGTAAAACGACGAGAACTGCCCACCTCATGGCTAAGCAATGCCACCCCCAAAGGCGGGAGACTTCCCCACATCCCTCAGAAGAGACGAAAGGATCTCAAAGCCACACAAGTCTTGTGTGACCAAGGTCTGCCTGTAGGACCATCAAAAAGACGTTATGTCATAGTTTAATGGGCATCATTTTTTCTTTGTGGTTCATAAAATAGTGGTGGGTCTTACAATTGGTGACTTTGCTTCCTAAGGTTTCTCCTGGTTTTCATATACAATGGTTATATTTGTGTTTTTCTGTCAATTAGGGCAAGCAAATAAAAATAATATTTTCAGCATTCCTCTCATGTGTCGGTGCTGTCGCTCTCAGATCCACAGCACTTGATTCATGATTATCAACTGCCTGGTTACTTTCTTGCCTTTCCTGTTGTGTTTTTAGCACCTAACACCAAGCTTGCTTTTTAAATGAATGGATAGATGAATATATGAAAGAATGAGTAGATGGATGGATGGATGGATGGATGGATGGATGGATGGATGGATGATGGATATATGAATGGATGGATACATGGATGAATGGATAGATATATGGATGGATGGATGGATGGATGGATAAGTGGGTGGATATATGGATGGATGGGTGATGGAGGGATATATAGATGGATAAATGGGTGGGAGGATGGAGCTGCTCCAGGAGATGCATCTCCGTCTTTGGTGAGGCAGCAGAATCCCTTCTAGGGAAGTAGCAGACCATTCTTCCAGATTCAGTGGGAACCTGGACTCAGTTTTTTAGGCTTGTTGTTGATTCACTTATAGTTTTAGATGACTCTCACAGGTACAGTGCTCCCTGGAGAGGTCTTCAAACTAATCAGCCAGAGATTTTAACCCAAGGCCATTATCCTGCAGCTGCTTGTGTAGATGCACTAATTTTTAAAACAACTTTATTGAGATATAATCCACATACCAAACAGTTCATTTATTTAAAGTGTACTATTAAATGGTTGTCAGCATAATCACAGATTTGGACGCCCATAGTCAGTTTTAGATCATCTTCATCACCTCAAAAAGAAACCCCATCCCCTTTAGCTATTGCCACCACTGCACCTGCACACCTACCCCATCCCCTATCCCAGCCCTAAGCAACCACCAATTTACTTTCTGCTTCTATAAATTTTCATATTCTGGACAGTTTATATTAGTGGAATCATAATGGTCTTTTATGACTTTTATTTAGCACATTGTTTTTAAGGTTCATTCATGTTTGAGCATGCATCGGTACTTCATTCCTTTTAATGGCCAAATAATATTCCATTGCATGGACATACCTACCACATTTTGTGTATCCATTCATCAGGTATGGACATTTGGGTTGTTTCCATGATTGGGCTTTTATTAATAATGCTACTAAAACATTTATATACAAGTTTTTGTGTGGACACATATTTTGATTTCTCTTGGATATATACCTAGGAATAGAATTGTTGGGTCATATGTTAACTCTGTGTTTAATTGTTGGAGAAACTACTGCACTATTTTCCAAGCAGCTGCACTACTGTTTCATTCCCATTATCAATGTGTGAGGTCTCTGATTTCTCCAAGTCCTCACCCACACTTGACTCTGATTTACAAGGTCCTTTCTCCAAAAGGGGGCTGCTTTCTGCCTCTCTGTCTCCTCCTTCCTGGGTCTCAGCTGAGTGCATAGAGGGCTGTGGGGAACTTCTCAGTTAATTATCTGCCAGTTAACCACTCAGCTTGCCCCCTGTGGTTGTAACTGGCTGCAGGCTGCTCCTGCTGTGTGCGTGTGAGGAGGTTATCTGTTGCTACCACACTCTAGTGGGTGAAATGAACCTCAGAGATAATGGGAATGTAGCACCTGAGGACTGTGATGGACAGCCATTCAGGATCTGCCAGGTGGGCTCTCTCTGCATGGCATCTGTCTGTGTCTGGGAGTCCTTGCAGCCCCAGACTAGCCCTGGGGAGAGCTCCTAGGTCACAAGGACCCAAGATGGGCAACTCCACCGGCCTCCTGCAGGTAGCCCATGGGCTTTACATCCATCTTCTGGAAAACTGTACTTTGTGCCAGGTCCTGAAAGTGTGTGATGGGAAAGACAAAATGAGCCCTGTCTGCAAGAAGGCATACTGTAGTGAGTTCCAAGAAGTGACTTGAGCTCAGACTCTCTGGCCGCCTAGTTCCCTAATTACTTGACCTCAGCATGTCCCAGAGAGAAACACTTGGAGAAACCAACCCAGGAGAATTACCATACCTGGGTCTTCAACATGTACTTGGCCAACGGCTCTCATCTCTGGCTTGGCCATCCTTCGCCCGAGACTTCCGTAATCGGGGCTCTGTGTTCTACAAAGTTGAAGGCATACCTAGGAAATGTGGGCAACTCTGTCTGCCTCAGTTTCCTAATTTGTACAATGGGGACAGAAACGGTGCCTACATTATAGGATTGTCTTGGATTAAATGAGCATATACCGAGAATCTATCACAGAGCTTGGCACATAATAAGTGCTCAGCAAAATGGTAGTTGTTATTATCTTTTATATATCAGGGGAGCCATGTAGAATTGCACTGGAAAATAAATAGGGTATTAGAGGAAAATAGTTTGGAAGCCAATGGTCTGTGGGGAATATAATATTGGTGGTTTGCTTTCCTGCTTCAGTGATGGTCAAAGGGCCACTGTCTCTGAGCAGCAGAGATAGTCATTCCAGGAATCAGGGGTCTGACCTTTCGTTACCTGTGGCCTTTACTCTCCTGGGCTCTGGCTGGTCAGTTCTTTATCTCCCTGTGGTTCATAGAGAATTCAGGGGGAGCTCAAAGAGCCTTGGGCACTGGATGAGTTTGAGGTGTTTGCTGTCTAGGGGCCTCAGGCATTGTGTGTGACAGGGGCCGCCCCTGCCTCACGGTGTAAGCTGCTTCCATGGCCAAGGTACCACCCGGCTCTGTGCCCATCAGCAGCTCCTATCTGCTAATACCCACGAGGGCAGAGTGTCAGTTACCTACTGGCCATTTTCTCATTTCCGGGAACCTATCATCAAATCCTCACTAATTAATTAAATGTCTAGTGGGCCCAGGTCTGGCTCCCTGGGGGGAAGGGAAGGAACAGACACAGCCTTGGTCTCTTAAGAGCTCATGGTTCAGTTGGGGAAGGAGGCAGCTCCTCAGACTACTGCTGGGCTGAGCTGGAGTGTGTGTGGGACAGCGAGGGAAAGCCCTGTGCATTTATCTGCCCCTTCTCCCCTCCCTTGAGATACCCGGAAAGGGCCCCCCTTTCCCGGGACAGAGCTCGGGGCTGCACTGCCTTCTGTGGTTGACTGTTTTCTTTGCTTCCATGCAGCCCAGACCTTTCAGAGGACCACAGTCTTCCTGTGATAGCGCGGTGGCTGTCTGCAACCAGGTCAGTGCTGAGTCCGAGAAACCCTCCTATTTCTGTGCGATGCCTGCGTATTTCTGTTTGGGACTGTCATGTATTGATTGCACATCATAACTCCCAGGGGACAGCCATTGTTCTTGATTTGCAGGTTCTAGGGACACCCCTCATTTTTAGTTCATGACTCACCTGCAGGTACTTTCTTGCCGGGGGTCTCAAACTCGGATGCCTGCAAGGGCCAGGCAGATAATGTGTGAGTGAGCGCAGAGCCATGAGCGGATGGTGGTTGTGGACAGTGGGGAGACATTAGGGAGTGCGGAGGTCTGTGGAGAACTGGACATCGCATGCCCTGCTCTGAAGGGGTCAGCACCCTTAGCTCAGCTGATGGCTGCAGTGTGGGAAGGTGGACCAGGGTTGCTGGATCTCCCAGTCCCTTAAGGACATCAGAAATGTGGATTATTTTGACATGAAATCTTTTGATTTAAAAATGTTGGCTCAAGTATTTTTTAAATGCAGAACAGGCAAAACAAAACACACTGTGGTCCAGACGTGGCCCAAAACAGGCATTTGCCATCTCTGCTTGTTGGTTATGCTCCTGTGCAGTTAGTCCCCCAAGGCAGGGGGCAGAGGTCACAGGTCCCGTGAGCACCTGCTATGGGTGTTCCGAGGGATGGGGGTCACTGTGAGCTGGGGTGGTTAGGGTGGTTCAGGAGGTGGGCTTCAGCTGTCCTTAAGGATGGAGAGGGGAGAGGGAAAGGGTGCTGTTCTCCAGGTGACCCCACTCTGCCTCCCCAGCCCTGGGACAGGCCTGTAGGGTCCCAGCCCTGCTGAGGGTCAGGCCATGTGGAAACTGTTTCCAGCTCTGAGACCCCCGTCGACTCTTGGAAACTGCTCAACACTGTCACTGCTCTAGCCGGGCTCTAGTGCAGGAAGGCGTTGCCAGGAGAAGGAGAGCTCACTGGGGACCCTGGTTACCCCGAGAGAGACACTGGAGAGAGTGTCACCTGAGAAGGAAGCCCTCGGGTGCTGGGCCACCACGCTCAGAGAAGCTTTCTAGCCCTAACCTAAGGTGCTCTCACAGATGCATTGCCAGGTTCAGAGCAGAACACTTGGTCTCCCCCCCGGCATGCTCCGAGTTGGTTTTTACTCTTTGTCTGTCAACCCAGAAGCTTTTGAAGGCCAGTGGTAGGGCCCACCCTATCCAACCCAGGGCCCATAGAGGAGAGAGAATGAGTCCCTGTGAGTCCATGCAAGTTGGCAGAGCTGAAGGTTAATTAACCCAGGAATTAGAATACAGTAAAGGGCCAGCTGAGGTCTACGCAGGACACAGGCAGTTCAGAGTGGGCATACATTAGGGAGTAGTGGGGTCTGTGGCTAGCTGGAGTATAGAAACAGTAGTAGTGATCAGTGATAGCCAAAGCGGCCAAGAGGGCTTCACGGAGAAGGTGTGTCTGGAGCTGGACCCTGAGGGAGAGGATGCAATTTGGAGAGGTGTGAGAGAAGGCAGGAGACACAGTGGGGCATAGCAGGGGGCAGTTGGGATGTCAAAATATAACCACAGCTAGTAATTGGGTGCTTGCGATATACCTTGCCGTGTTGAACACCTCGTGCATTCTCTCACTAACCCTCACAGCGCCCAATGAGATGACACTTTCATCATCAGTCTACTTTAAAGACGAGGAAACAGGCTGCCCAAGGTCACACGGGTGGGCAGTGATGTAGCCTGCAGGGGGACCAAGCCTCAGAAACCATAGCCATCATGTCACCATCTTAGGAGGTGCGGGCAGTGAGGAAGCCGCCTGACTCCAGCCAGGGATGTGGCTGGCTGGCTAGTAACCTTCAGCTTTGATATTTTATCTCCCCTTTGGGGCTTCACCTGTGACTTCCATGCCCCCTGGTGCCCACAGGGCATGGTATACAGCAGTCACTCAGTACCTGTTGGGGTGAGTGGTCTTGAGGAGGTCCTTGAATGTGGTGGGAAGAAGTTGGAATCCTGGTTCTGGAATCGGGTGACCTTGGTGGCTGGTAGGGAAGGGGATTGGACTGGTCCACCCCCAGCACCCTTGGCTTTAATGTCCTAAGAGCTGGGAGGGACTAGGGGAGAGCCTGGGCCCAGCGGCAGTGGGCAGGAGCGCTGAGGACACTGACTCTCCGGGAAGGAGAGGGCTCGGGGGGACATGGGGAGGCTGGGGAGCCGCAGGCCAGTGTGTCGTCCTGGGCTTGGGACTGAGGTGTAGGATGGGGCGGGGCCTCAAGGACCATGCAGTCTTGTCAAGACAAGATAAAAACCCATAAAAAATTCAAGAGCAGGACAAGAGTTGGGTAGCAGCACGGGGCAGGATGCAGAGGTGTCAGGAGGCAGCCTGTGCTCAGTGCCAAGGGAGCAGGTTGGGGTCAGTGCAGGGAGCCCAGTGGAGGCCCCTGTGGGACGCGGGGACCCAAGGGAGCAGGTTGGGGTCAGTGCAGGGAGCCCAGTGGAGGCTCCTGTGGGACGCGGGGGCCCAAGGGCACAGCAGACTTGAGCAACAGAGATGGCCAGAGACAGAAGAGGGGCTGGACCTCCCTGAGCCCACCCTGCCTCCTGCCAGGCCCGTGGACCTTGTGCAGGGCTCCGAGCCAGGAAAGCGGCTGTGTCAGGGTCCTTCCTCTGGGAGGAACTCCCACCAGGAGCCCGGAAGCTAAGGTGCCCCCTGGTGGACTGCTAAGGATGCCATCCTCCCTCCGGCGGGCACACTTGCTGCCTCTCCCCGTGGCCTTTCTTCTCAGACCTTCTCTGCGGTGCTGGCCAGTGTGCTGAGGAGAGAAGGGTTCTCTCGTACCATCCTGGCCCACAGTGACCTGGGCACTACCGTGAAATCTGGTCCAGCTCCTCAGTTACTCCTGGAGGCTGTTCTCGGGGAGAGAGCCCTGGGGCCCAAGCCCCATTGGTCTTTTCCATGGAAGTTCTGAAAGAAACACAGGGCTTGGTCCTGGCCCTGCCCAGAATTGGGGCTCAATGGGTGTGAAAATGAGGCAATGATTTGAGGGTTGTCTGGTGTTTAAGAATATCTGTCCTGTTATTGGCAGTCCCTGGGGAAGGTAACTTAGCTCAACCAGGTGTCCAGGGATGGCAGACTGTTGAGTCTGGCTGGGGCCCTGCATTGCAGGCCTGGCTCTATCCATAGGCAAGTCATTCCCCTTCTCTGGGCCCATGTCCTCTCTGCAGTGAAGGGGCTGAATTCTCCGGAACCACTGAGGTCCTCCAGCTTGTTCAGCCCAGTCGGCTGTGCCTGAGCCCCCAGTGTAGCCCTGCAGGACTCTGAGCAGGTGCTGTTCTGTGCTCCTGGCTCTGAGAGCCCAGAATGGAGGTGGCTGATCTGCCAATAATATGAATTTTGCCCATTGAGGTCCTGCCTAGCCTCAAGCTGGCACCTCTTCTAGGGAGCCTGACCCATGGGCCAGCAAACCCAGACCAGGATGAGATAGTGGAATAAGGGATTGAAGGGAGGGGGAGGTTTTCTAGCTCTTAGCTTTCAAAGTGAGGTCCTGACCGGTAGCAACATGCCTGCGAACTAGTTAGAAATGCAGAATCTCAGGCCCCACCTCCAGGCCACTGGGTCAGAATCTTCATTATAACAAGGTCGCACCTTGAAGTTCGGGATGCGCCTTGAAGTTCGGGTGCACCTTGAAGTTTGGGTGCACCTTGAAGTTCGGGATGCGCCTTGAAGTTTGGGGTGCACCTTGAAGTGCGGGGTGCACTGCTCCGGTCCACTTACGCTCTGAAGACCAAGCCTCACAGAAAGAAATGCATTTCCCATGCGTCAGTGAACAAAAGTGCCGTGAAACAGTTTTTCACTTACAATGTGTGTCACTCATGGGTATTTTCAATGTCGTTCTATATTTTTAATGCTGAGATCATGAGTTTATTTTACACTAAGTTGACTTCACAGCCCACTAAATCGCTGAAGCCTGCAGTTTGAAAAACAGTACACGCCTAGCTAACACCTGCCTGATGTTTGCGTGACGAAGAGTTGCACTGGTGTGTGGGGAGTGTCAGAGGTAGAGAGGACACCAGGTACCCTGGACTCCGGAGACAGTGGATGTTGCCGGTTTCTGAGGTCGTCTCCGGCTCAGAGTGTTTCCAATCTCCCCCACTTCTGGTGGTTGCGGAGGCATCGCTGGAATGCTCCTGCTTTTCTTTGGCAAACACTGACGCATCCCAGAGTCCTCAGATCACGACAGGAGTGGCCAAGCACAGGGCTGCAGTTGTTAGGGAAAGGCATTGTCCCTGAGGCCCATTTCTGCAGGAGGTGGAGCGTGGGCGGGACTTGCTGGGGTGGGTTGGCAGCAGACCTGTGAAGGGGGTTCCCATGGCTCCCTCAGGGAGAGCTCTGGGCATGCTCTGTTCCAGGCAGCAGGCCTCTCTTCCCACACTCAGCAGGCAGCATGGCCAGGGCCTGGCCCTGCCCTGTCCGACAGCCTTGTTGCAGGCTCCGGTGAAGGTGTCAGTTGCCAGCAGCATGTGGAGGAGGGAGAGGGAGAGGGTCAGCCTTACGGGTAACAGGAGGCAGTTGCTGGAGGGGAGCGCAGGGCAGTGAGGCTGTGCTGCAGCAGGAGGCCTGGGAAGGGGCTGTGGAAAAGGTGGGGTGGACCAGATTCAACACAAGCTGAGCAGTGGTGACCTGAGCAATGACTGTGTGCTGGGCCCTGCTGCCCACCCACAGCTCAGCGCGCCCACCTCCGTCTTCAGAGTTGCAGTCCTGCTAGGATGGGTGGACAGACCATGAGCTCCAAGGCCACTGGGCTCAGGAGCCCAGAGCCAGCCCCATACAGCACTGCACAGCTCCCCTGCAGCTGGCCTGGGGCCCGAGGGAGGCTGGGCCCGTGCAGCAGCCAAAAGCAAGCAAGCAAACAAACAAAAACACGCATCAGGAAATCTGAGAGGAGGCAGGAAGGCAGAGATGGAGACCTTCCGAGGCTTCCTCTGTGGTCCCAGGGGGTGTGGTGCCCAGGGAGTTGCATGCTGAGGGACTGAGGGAAGGGTCTGA